AATTTGAATATCTTTAAATTCCACAAACCAGTCAGCAAAACCTAAAGACCTAAAAATTATATTTTTTGCCTTTTAATAACGTTTAGTTTTCCTTTTTGATATCTTAGGCGTGTTTCAAACGTCGTGCTACTGCCGTGCTAAGCTAGCTCGACTGTAGCTCGGCCGCAGCGCGACACTAGCACGACTTGGTTTCAGACGTCGAATTTATTTCAGTCGAATAGAACGGCTGTTGCCGAAAACATAACAAAAATAAAGAAACGGTTTAGCAGACTTTTAAATATATTTTAGTGAATTTATAATTTATGACCTGAGTTCGGCTCGGCGGTAGCAAGACGTTTGAAACCAAGTCGAGCTACTGCCGTGTAGCACAGCAAGGATTGCTGTGCTACACGGCAGTAGCCGACTTACTTTCAAACGTCGCGCTACTGCCGTGCTAAAGTCGAATTTAATTCGATCAATTGAGTTCGGCACGGCAGTAGCACGACGTTTGAAACGGGCCTTATACATCGAATACGCTCATAGACGTGGTGAGGATTCTATTTTCGCGGGAAAAAGTGTCCTAAAATGTGTCTAAAAATAAAGTGGTCCGTAAAAACGCCGTAACACATGCCTAAAATGGGAGTTGCTCGCTCCGGGTTACAGCTCCTGGTAGAAGTCATTTTCCCGATGAGGGTCAGAGGTTCCAGTGAGTCCGTGTTTTGTCTTTACCTGTATTTAATGGCTAGCGAAGTACAGTTTCTCTAACAAAAAGACAGTTGCAAAACACTTTTGATTTTCGAGATGAGTAGAGAAGGGAAGAGTGACGTCACACAAAGTCAAATTTGTGAAATTGTGGTATTGGATGGCATATTCACAAAGATTAAGTCGAAAAAATCCCTCTTACCAATAACCATCCTCTAGCTAATAGGGAAAGTTGGTTTGTTCTGATGACTCTATACATTTCCCTCTAAAATTGGCTTGGATTGTAACGTTAGCGATCCAGGCCTATTTCAGAAGGATTTATTCGGAATCCCTCATCGGCGCATAGCGTTGCTTCACCAATTTCCCTGACTACTAATTTGAACTAACACGCTGATTTTTAGCAAGTGAACATTTTTCATCTTGTTCTTTCTAGATATGCTAACTAATCCCTTAATTTCACAAATTTCTTGTTTTTCAAGAGGACTTTATGTCCTCTGAGTTGTTGTGACGTCATCTGTTCTCTTCTTTGCTGATCTCGTGCGTGAAACTCAATGACAACGTTGTCATTTCTTGGTTTTGACGGAGAGTTGGCAATTCCTCTAGAGCGACAAACACTATATGTATGACTACATGACGGCTTAACAGCTAGAAGTACAGAGAAGAATTGACCACTATATTAACACGAAATTAAAGAAACGTTCGTTCACATTTGTCAACAACGTTTAGTACTTAACACAAAACACCAAACACGAACGACACAGACTCGTTTACCGAAAGTATATATGGATTTGCAGTGTCTTTGGACATCAAACGTAATTGAACAATGTTTGGAAAAATGCATCTGTGCCTATCATGTTATAAAAATCCACATAAATATCATGCCAAAAATAAACAGTGGACCACATATGCGCTTGTTGCATTTAAATACCCGCCGGCGGGCACTTTTTATGAACACTAACAGTAATATAACAATCGCTATGGACCATATAAACAAAATGATAAAACTCATCTTTGTTGAAACATTTGCCCTACAAGAATTTTCTCCGAAGACAGAAAAATGCAGATGTTTTCTTCTTTTAAAAATAATTGGAGACTTATTTCCCACGTCGACTCTTGCAATACCGTCGTAGCCTAGAAATTCACAGCTTTTTTGAAAGACTGTAGAGATTGATACAGTATACGAGATCCCATTAATTTCTACAACGGCCTTAGCTCCGATGTTATTTCCCTGCAATTTCGGTTTGGTTGCCAAATTCCCAGGAGCGACAAACAGATATGCCATTCTCGTCCTTCTCTCAGCTAAGTTAGTTGTAATATTGAGGAAGTGAGTTTTCCTTTTACCGACTTCTGCCCCCCATTCGTTGGTTTGTGATTGAACGGTGCTTTGCCCTTGATGAGCGTTCGTCCAAAAAACCAGATGAGTCTTGTTGTTTAACATTATCGAAGCTAACTGATCTCCAGTTTGGTCTTCTTGCACCTCAAAAGAAGAGTGTCGATTATGGAAAAAGGCCCCTGCGTATCGAGTTGAGCTATTCCACGTTTTCTCAATATGATCAATGACCAAAAGAACTCCAGGATTTAAGACGATTATAGATCTATACACACTTGAGAGAGCCAACTCAGATCTGTACCAACCACTAAACTCGCCACTAATAAAAACTATTTCTTTGGCATTCGAGGCAGCAACAATTTCCGCATCAGCGAACCAGATTGCATCGTTTTTGAAAGCCAACCATTTGCTACAGTCGCCAATTTGTCCTTCAAAAGGCCCAGAACACGTCGGTTCCGTCGTGGGACCAAATAGCAGAGCGTTATTGAGCCATGTGTATTTGGGTCCATAGAGGGCCTCGGTAATGAACGGTACACCGTAAGGTACAAAAACAAAGGAACCTTGATCTGGATGTTCATGTCCTGGGTTGAAATTACGCCATCCTGATATCCAGTCATACTGCGTATGTCTTACAATGCCATTTATGGTTCTTCCGTGCAAAACGCTTGATTTAAAAGAAAGAAATGTATTTTTTTCCCGGTCGTTTCCCAAAGATCCGCCTCCATAAGTCACAACACCCCAGTCGTCAAAAACATGAAGTTGAGGAGTTGAAGCATTAGGAGGTTCCTTTTCTAGAATGCTTGCATTATAGAAAATAAACTCCGTGTGAAGTGTGCAAAAACGTTGCGCGAAGGCTCCTTCCATTGCAGAATTCTCAACACGTAACATGCGGATTTTTTTGGCAAGCCAGTTGCCATACCCATTTCGCATAACGTGACTATCTAAGAAAACAAGCTGGCTTTCGGGTCCGTAAAACCAAATTTGGTTTGAGTCGGCAATACCAACAGTTTCTGTAAAACTTGGAAGAATTGTGTGGTATAAGAACCAGAAGTGTTCTCGCAACCAGATGTTGTTTGTCAAATCAGTTCCGAGATGTCTCTTAGCCAAAAAAAATGTACTGGGTCAGTGATCGCGTGGTGTATGAGCCATAAGCCACGCCCTCTTCCATAGACCCATCGACGATTTGATCAAGAAGTAACATGGTTCTCCTCAGCATAAAATTAGCTCTGTCTTTCCAAACTTTCGCTTCTTTGATGTGCGGTTCAACCACTATTGCACCTGTAAAAAATGCAACGTAATTAGTAGCAACATGATTCTGAATGTACTGTTTTCCCCAAGCGAGTTTGAAAGATCTCTCGTAAAGTTCTTTTGTGACATCTGAAATCTTTCCAAGGGCTTTTATTCGAAGGTCTTCCTTTGAGTGTTCGAAAAGAAAATCGTAAGCGGTTGCCATAGCAACCAAGCTGTGTGCCACAGGGACATCATCCCCTATTAAAGCACTGACACGCCAGTTAGGCAAAGAGACAAACGCGTTAAAGAACTGCATTGCTACATTCCTTGCTTGGACGTCCGTGGGGTTTAAAACACAGTACATGGCTAAGGCCGCAAAGTTATTGCCATGATCTTCGTTCCATCTACTGGCAAACACGCTCCAGTTGGTTGGTGGAAGAAAGCGCGATGGTTCAGCTTTCATTCTACGCGCTGCCGTTCTCAAGCGAACAAATATATCGCGATGGGTCGTTTTGGCTTTCTCTCGTAAACGATGGACATCTTGGGATGAAAAGTAAAGAAACGGATGAACAGCTTGTTCGTGTGCAGGCTTGATCCAGCTTAACATGAATATCACAAGGAAGCTTACGTGGATCAACCTTTTTTTCGAGATTAATGTTGGCGGACCAGTCTCTGAAAAAAAAAAATAAATAAATGAAACGAAATGTAAGTGTACTTAAGTTAAAATGGGTAATACTTCAATTTGTCCTTTGTTTGTCCTCACGATTCTTAGGCAAACAGTGTCGCATTTCAGTCAAAATTGAAGTAAAATGGTGATAAAGTACAATTAAGCAGTTTTTTTTAATAAACTAGGAATCTCTCGACGTTTCTGTAATAAAAAAAAGAAAGAAAAAAAGCGAAAAGATACCACTTCGAAAAATAATTTACCGTAATAATTTTAAGCCTTTTCGCCGCGTTTCGTTTTAGACGAAAAACATAATTTCTTCACTTTAGTTTCTTATGTTACTTATACCTCTTTTACACTGTTCAAGTTCGTCGTCGGTAATTAAAAATGAATTTAAAAATGGATTTGATAAACAGTGGACTAAAAAATTGCTTTTTTAAAGGTTATTTAGTACAATCTTACTCATCAGTCACTCACCGTTACCACCGAACTATCTCAGATTTCATTTTCATTGAAAAACCGGTCTTATATTTCAAAAGAAATTATCAGCCTTTTGAAACAAAGGACACAAATGAAAGTAATATCTTTACACGTGACCATTTTTATTTCAAATATCGAAGAATACAGCTGATTAAATATAGACACATTTGAAGGCTTTCTCCTAAGTGACTCCTTTTCAGTTAATGTCAACGTTTATGTCATCGTTTGTGTTTCAGTTAGGGTCAGTAAATTAAAATAGCCAAAAGCATATCATTCACCTTTAGAGCCTGATTACACGTAAGGCATGTGAGTGAAATTAAAACAGCTCTTATTCAGCCCGTACCAGTTTAGCACTCTATCCAATTCTTACTGATTTGTTCGACGTAACTAAACAACTGCGACTCGCATTTAATCGTGACAGGAAAAATAAACATATTGCAGCTCCAAGAAGCAGAGCCGACGGAAATTAAACAACTCAAAACCGTTCCGAAAGGACACAACATCATTACTAACGAATCCCCCATCTATATGTCATTACACAAAAGACCACTTAAAATTTGCGATTTCAAGTTTCACAAAAAAGCTTTGCTAGTTTAATGAATTAAACATTTCCCTGTTCGCCCTGCTCCAAGCTACAATAGATTTATTATTTGTAAATAGGAAGAAAAAGCTATAAACGTGGAAAAAGCAAATATTTGCACACTAAAGAGACTCAAACACAAAACCTTTAAATTTCACCACCTTCCGAAGGATGTTAGTAAAATCTATTATAATGTTATGCCTTTTCAGGACGGTTTTGAATTTATCTTTCTGCTTTGCTTCTAGGAGCTGAAATCTGTTTATCTTTCTGTTTTTCTTCGTTTTTTTTCTTTTCTTTTTTCAATAAAATCTTTTAAAGTTCAAAATTTATGCTGGCCCTGTACCCCTAGTTTCAACAAGCGGTTTTTGAAAAGTACCTCTGCATGCACTTCCAGAATATTCATCCTACCGCCTGATCAAATAAAAATTCAGTGGACCCAGCTCTATGGACAGCCGGTTAATACGTGTTTGTTCCAACAAAAAGCTCAAAAAGCTCAAAAAAACGGCGGAATACGGACACTGGGGTACGTCCCCTTTGTATCTGTATTAAGTCGAAGTACCATTGTATTGTAACTTGCCAACTGGTTGCCTCCTGCCAGTTGGGGTTTTTAATCCTGTTTATGTTGTATTTGAATTATTTGTTTCTAAGTATTTGAGTGGAGTATCTGTAAACTAGCTGGATAAGCTAAGTGCACTTTCCACTATAAACAAGCCGTTAAACCTTTAAAGCTCTATGTGTATATGTATGTTTTTCAACATTGTGTGTAAATATGAAATCCTTTTCTGTGATTAGAGTGGAGTAGAGTAGAGTTGTTTATTCAGAACCCCTTGCAGCTAAGAGCTGGATAACAGGATCGTGCCCAAATTACACATAATTAACATATAACTTATGACAAAAAATTTAAATATTTCACAGATACAAATTCTGACAATCTTTTTGTCCTACACATTTTGTTATTATAGTTCCGGCAGCTTCGTAACGAGTACGAGTGAACGGTAGATACTCTTCCACTCATGGCAAGGCCAAACACAGGGCTGGATGATTTTAAATTACGCATAAATGATTCGCAAGCAGCAACCCTACAGTGTTCTAAAGACGGCAGGCCACTTAGTATCAATGCCTCGTCATAATTTAAATTCGGAAGAATTATCCTAAGGGCGCGCTTTTGAATTCCCTCCAACCATCAGACAGATACTTTGGAAGATTCGCGAATACAACCGAGGCGTATTCAATTACTGATCGTATAAGAGAGTAATATACTGTGATCAGGTCTGATGTCGACACGCCGCACTTCTTTAGAGGCTACGATTGGCTTTTTTGATTATGTAGTCACAGCGAACACCCCAAGTCAAATCCTCAGAAATATAAACTCCGATAAGTTTAAAGGATTTGACGCGCTCGATGACAACTCCGCCTGTACAGATGGGGCCCCAAGTGCAACTATTATAAGCAAGAAAGTCAATCGTCATGGCTTAAATTTAGCTTGATTAAGGCGCATGTTGTTGCGGTGAGAAAAGCACTGGATATCATCCACAATACAATTCAAATACGATGGAGAGTTTCTAGGGATGATTTCTAGAATCGTCAGATCATCCACGTACTTTGCGCGCTTAGGCCATATGCTCACTAGGTCGTTGACCATAACAGAGAACAGTACAGGCCCCAGTTTAGTTCCTTGGGAAATACCTCCATTCAGGGAGCGGATAATAGAAGAATCGGAGCCTATGCGAACTGACTGTGAACGACCTTTGAGGAAAGCAGCAATCCACCTTACAAGGCAAGGGTGTAGGTTACAAAAGGGTACTTTACTTAAAAGAATGGTATGGTCTATAAGGTCAAACCCTTTTCTGAAGTCCGCAAAAAATAGTCTTGCACTTTAGCTACCACTATCTAAGGCTTCCAGGACCAGGTGGAGTACATATGCAATTGCATGGTGGGTTGAAATTCCTCCAGCTGCGAATTGTTTACAATCAAGATCTTCATAAATTCCAGGGAGTGACCTCGTGAGAGTAAAGCCTTCCATTATTTTCGCCATCTGGTTCGTTAGGGAGATCGGCCTAACGTCGTTTTCAACAGACTTGGGAGGCATCTGTTTAGGCAGGGGGCACACAATTGCGTGTTTCAGAGAAGGATGTACAACGCCTTCACACAAAGAGGTATTATACATATCAGCAATTAAATCAGTTACGCGAGTTCAAATGCGAACTCCTTGAGTACTATATTATGTATGCCATCTGGTCCTGGCGCTTTCTTGACTTTTGTCTGCCGCAGGGCGATATAGGCTTCGCGCACAGTGACAAAAAGATCGGGGGACAGCAATCCCTCAAAATGAAACATCTTTAGGTACTTGTAGTTTTTCCTTAGATGTTTAGAAGAGTGTAATAAAACTTTAGCAAAGCAGCCATTTTTTGACACGATGAGGACCGACACTTATCTTCGCCGGCGTTTTGCAACACTCATTAGGGAGATTAAGCTACGAGAACGGCAAAAAATCAATAGGTTTTGATTGGCCAAACAACAACTTTGCATCACGATTTTTTGTACATTTCTTTGCCGTCACTGCACGACTACAACGTGAAAGTAATTTCACGTTTTGTGGAGGACGTGAGCACAAGACAACGACTTCTTTTTCTTTCCCTGAACTTCTATAGAACGACTAAAGTTCCCCTCAGACAACCGAGCATGTGAATGGTCTGTAGGCCAAGTAAAAAAAAAAAACGTTTCTCGTCCCCGCCCGCTTCACTTTTTGGAAGCCGCCTCTCTTTTTTATTATTTGTTATTAGTAACGTTTGTACGAACAAAAACCAACAGGCGAAAGGACTGCTACCCGTTCTGCAGTGTATGGCACGAAAGGAGATACGAGACAAAGAAAGCTAAAGAAGAAAATCACGAGAGCTTTCAGGCAGGCTAAATCATAGCCCAATTGACGTTTTTAATGCACCCTTCCTATTGCGATATATCGTGTGATGCATCAGGTTGTTGTTTAAATCATGTATCAGCTTGTATCAAAATAAAACAAACCTGCGTTAAATCAATATCTGACATTCGTTTTATTATTATTTGACCTAAGAACTCCATCTTATCCCTAGCTGGGGGAGGGTGGTAATTTGTAGAGAAAGCATTCAATTGGAAATGTTAAAAAGGTCCCAAATGACAAAAAAAAAAAAAGCGTCCGCCCGCTTTCTTTTTTATAGAAATCAGGACGAGAAACATTTTGTTTTTTTTTTGCTTGGCCTTACATGTTTTAGGACACCTCCAAATTAACCAAACAAACCCATTTGAGGAACTTTTCATATATAGAAACACTTGGTTTATATTACAAATAAACTTATCGTGATCAGTCTATCGCCCGAGTGACCTCTCAAAATATTTTAAATGTTTATTTTGGTAATGGTAGCCATATCATATCTGCAAAGTTAGTAAAAATTCGACAATAAACTTTAAACAACAACAGCTATGTGGGCCCGTTGAGTATCGGGCTTTCGAGAAATGGACTAAT